TAAGCAATATTTTTCATTTGCGAAAATCTTTCATGCAGCTACTGTGCTCTAGACTGTGTTACACCTCAGGGTCGAGACACAATAGCTGTCAAGAAGCCTAGAGGAGGAAAACTTTTATAAATATAAAAATCACTACCAAATAGCAGTTCATTTTCTTATCAGAGTTTATTTCTGCACCTCAGAGGTCATGCTACTATCAGAATAATATTCAGGTTTCTTTTAAATTTAAATTTAAAAAAATTTTGAGAAAAATGTTTCCAGCAATTTTCATTCAATGTGAATGACAAGAATATTACATCTATAAACATTGAAATATCTATTTAATTTCTTCCTGAGGAAGTTTCACATTTTAAGCAATGAAAAAGGGTATTCTGTACAAGCTAGCCTGCAAATCAATCAACTCATTCTTTTCTCACAGGTAAAGCTGGGAAAATACCACAACATTTTCAAGAACATTTGCTTAAATACTTAAGTGAGTTTATATCAGCTGTATTTATACCCCTGTATGTTCACTTTTTGCAAATACCCGTGCATTGATTTTTACTGGAACAGATGTTTGTGGAATGCAAATTTCAAAGTCAAATGCCTGGGTATTTGCAGAAGAGAAATGTTAAGTTCACATACACAAGTATTTGTTGGAATTGCTTGCGCATTTACCCATCACAGAACAAAACCATACCACATGATCTATTTGACCATCACAACTAAACAACTCAGCGTGACGATTTGCAATAAACTCCTTATGATCAATCAGTACATGAAACAATAAATAAAAATTGACAGCATCATTTGTGAAAAGTGAGTCCATTTGAAATAAACCTGCAACTTGCCTGAAGATAAACTGAAAAGAAGAGGCTAAAATTGTCAGATAAATTCTGTCTATGAATTGCTTGCTCAGCTCCACTCCTGCATATTTGACTTGAGCTGTTGTACACAAGGTCTGGAGTCTGCATGTTTTGCTAAGACTCATTGTTCATCACTAAGCAGGCTGACTACCCAGTAAAAGCCTAGCTCATT